CCCAGACTGGAGTGCAGCGGCACTCCCGGCCACTGCAGCCTCGACCTGCTGGGCTCCGGCAATCCTTCCACCTCAGCCTTCCAAGTAGCTGGAATTACAGGTGCACGCTACCACGCCTGGCTGATTTTTTATTTGTTGTAGAGATGAGGTCTTGCCAAGTTGCCCAGGTGGGTCTCGAACCCGCTGGCTCAGGCAATTCACTCACCTCAGCCTCCCAAAGTGTGGGATTACAGGCTGAGCCACCGAGCCCGGCTGGAAATAGACTTCTTTTTTTTTTTGAGTTGGAGTCTCACTTGGTCGCCCAGACGAGTGCAGTGGCCACTCCTGGCCACTGCAGCCTCGCCTGCTGGGCTCTGGCGATCCTTCCACCTCAGCCTTCTGAGTAGCTGAAACTACAGGCATGCGCTACCACGCCCGGCTGATTTTTTTTTTATTTATTGTAGAGATGAGGTCTCACTGCCCAGGTGAGTCTCGAACCCGCGGGCTCAGGCAATCCACTCACCTCAGCCTCCCAAAGGTGCGGGATTACAGGCTGAGCCACCGAGCCTGGCTGGAAATAGACTTCTAACAGAGCTTCGTGTAGGATGTTGAGGGGCAGGTGGACCAATGTTTCAGAATTCCAATCACATCTCCTCATCTCTCCCTGTTCCTCCTCAACCAGCTGGCCGCCATGGTTGTGTCCATGTATCTGTACTGCAATCTGAAATAAGTCTGCTTCTGCCTCTGCTACTACTGCTGCCTTATGGGAACTGTGAAGAGATGCCCCGGCACCGCCAAGAAGCCGTGATCAGGGTGGGACCAGTATCTAATGGTGTCACTTGGACCAGAATAGGCTTGCTCTTTCTGCTCCGGACTCAGACTAAATAGGGACCACCCCTTTTAGGCTGTGCCTGACTTTTCCCTCCCATTGGTAGGGTTGGGGTACACCTGTTTCAAAGCCTTTGAGGTAGCCAATTCTCCCGCCCATTCCCCCAGTCTGTTCCTTAAAACCTTGCTCCCTTAGGCAAAGGGGGAACTCTTGATGATCCCAGTCCTCCACTGGGGGATGACAGAAAAGCACCTTATAGCCCGGCCATAGATGACATCAGCAGAACCACTGGCAGATGTGTAAAAGGCACTTCAGAACTTATAAAACCAATTACAATGTTTCCATTTGGACTTCGTGTATGCTTGGGGAAAAGGGCCCATCTCACCTAAACTGGTCTTGGATTCCTGTGGCGCTGCTGACTCAAAGGCCTCTGGAAAGAAGGGAAGTGGGGTGAGGCGGTCATTTCTCCCTTTCATTTGGGTTCCAGGTCTGGGAGGGAAGGTGAGGGATGGTTGAGAGGGCATGAGGAAGTGGGAGTGGGCCAGTCTGTCTTCTTATAACATGGAAGAACTTTGACCTGAGACTACCTTCTCCTGGGTGGGGCACTGGACTGGAAAGTTATGAAAATAGCAACCTTTTCGAGACCCGCCTGGGCAACTTGGTGAGACCTCGTCTGTACAATAAATCAAAGAATTAGCCGGGCGTGGTAGCGCACACCTGTAGTTCCGGCTACTTGGAAGGCTGAGGCGGAAGGATCGCCAGA